GATTATCCCTATGAGGGCTTCCGGGTGAAAACCTGTTGGCCAGGTGACCTCCCCTCGGAGCTCTATGGGGGTGAAATGTGTGAGGGTGTGTTTATGTGGGGGGTGGTGAGGGGGAAGTGGGGTCGGCCCCGTCGCTTGGTGGTGGCGAGGTCGTAGATGGGGCGCCCGCCGAGCGGCTTCACGGCGGCGGCATTACACTCCCAAGCGATACGCTCAGTGATTGGGAGTGAAGTAGCTCGTGACGTGATCATATTCAGAAGTGTAATTGGTTCCGATGATCCTAAAAGCGCCATTTGATATCCTTATTGGACAACTACTCGCTCAGATGTGGACAAAGCGGTCAGGGGCGAGTTGCGCAACTTTGAGAGCATCACGGTTGCTCGACTGATTGCTCTGGCGTGGGCCCAGCCTTACAATTGCTCACAACGTGTCTGTTGCGAATACGTATCGTACACATATTACACACAATGTAAAATGACCGCTATGCGCCAGATCATTACGTGAGTCTGACCCAAAAATCGGTGGCGAACCACAAGTGAACTGCAGTGTCTCATACCTCTACATAGCACGGGAACAGGTCGTTGAAGAGGAGCTTTCCCAAGGCTATCTCTACCACCACACAGCCGAGTGCCCACATGTTCACGTATTGCCTTTAATAACATCACACAGTATCATCACCCACAGCGTCATCAGACACACACAGTGACAAGTATACAAAAGAAAAATATCCCCCATATAGCCTTTAACAGACTGTTGGGGTAAATGCTGTTTGCAAGTACCTATAAAGGCCAGAAAGGCGCATAAAGTGGTGGGTGGTCAACACGGTACCCGGCCACCTTTGTCTCCCTCATGGCAATGTTAATGCATCACATCAGGTATTCATTTAAGGCTGAGTGGAGCTCGCGGAGGCCCATCACCGGTTCCGATAATCGTCACTGGTGTTGAACGTGAGCGGGAATCGAACTGATGGTTTCATAGCACAGCGCAATAACTGCTACACTACCACTCCCCACACACATGCTTGCATAGGCACACACAGCAACAACAGCCCCATTCGTCACCGGCGGTGACATCACCAGGGTGTTTGTGCCAGGCTAGGTGCACTCCGAGGCCACGTAAAGTGCCAAAGGCTCGCTGACAGGTCACAGGACAGAATACATGTTTTTTATTTAACCAGGTAAGGCCCACTGAGCTATTTAGCTATTTTTCAGAAGCGATCTGGCTACAAATGATAGCTCAGTGAAGCTGCTTATCACGTGCAAATGTATCGCAGCCAAATACTCTAAAAGCATGTTTCTAAATTTAGAGGGAAAGACTTGAGGACCCAGAGAAAAATCCATGTGACCACGGGGAGAAAGGCATGCAAACTCCAAATATACAGGCGTCAGGATCAGGATCGTACCCACAGCCCCCTGTATACCAGGGGAGGTAGTTAAAATCTCGCCACCGTGGTGTTGGGTTGGCTGACTACTGAGGGGGCACCTGTGTCCCCCACTCTTCCAACTTGCTGCATTTTAGCGATTCGACACTCTGCTCATTGTCATGAGCGTCGCTCTTCTGCCGTCTGTTTTTGGAGGGTAACTGCCTCCAACTGTCCAATAGCGTTCTTCATGACATTTGCGAGTCTTGAGCAAGTCCACTTAGCTCCGCATCCTTCCCATATTGCAACAGTCCATCTCTTCTCAAGGCCGTACCGCGTCTGTTTAGTCCCCTCTATCCAGCGAAACAGAAACTGGCTGGGCATGTGGTGGCTGGGCATGCGGGGTGACATGACACAACCAATGCAGCATTGCCCATCGGAGGAGTTCACTGATGGGAATGTACTCTTTGGTTCTTTCGGTAAAGTCACGTATAAAGATAAAATAATAAATTAAATAATAGCATACGACGTTTCGATTGCAACACAAGCAATCATCATCAGGTATAAATGAAATAGCAACAAAAATCTAACCAGAAAACTATAGACAGACATATAAGCAGACAGATATCACCAAGATACATAGAGAGAGAGTAACACAGGCACAGAGAGGGAGATCGTCTCTGTGGCGAGGCCTTAAATAGACAGAGGGGGGCGGGGGCGGAGAAAGGGAGGGGTTAGAGAAAAAATGTACATGTCAATGAGTACGGAATTTACACACTTAAATTCTAACTTAGCAATCTTTGAAATACGTGATCGACCAGGCTATGCATTAATTGTGTGTTGACCGACTCTCTGTGTTGTATTACATAACATTTCGATATTTTGCTAGGTTATTTAATTTAGTGTGTTCTTTCTCCCTCTCTCCTAATGTTCAAGCTTGCGTACTTTACCACGCGTCGCCGTACTCATTGACATGTTAATTTTTTCTCGAACCCCTCCCTCTCTCCGCCCCCCTGTCTATTAAAGGCCTCGCCACAGAGACGATCTCCCTCTCTGTGCCTATGTTACTCTCTCTCTATGTATCTTGGTGTTATCTGTCTGCTTATATGTCTGTCTATAGTTTTCTGGTTAGATTTTTGTTGCTATTTCATTTATACCTGATGATGATTGCTTGTGTTGCAATCGAAACGTCGTATGCTATTATTTAATTTATTATTTTATCTATATACGTGACTTTACCGAAAGAACCAAAGAGTAATTCCTGCAGTCACGAAAGCTCCAAATTAAGATTGATGGGAATGTGTTCAGATCTTTGAAGGATTTATGTTCTCCTCACACAATTCAGCCTGGTTAAACACAAAATGGATATTTGGTTCTTTCGGTAAAGTCACGTAGGTGTTGCGCCATAACAAGGCGCTGTAAGGAGCTTACCTGCCACCACGCTCACGGGCCGACAGGGGGCAGCCGAGACAGAGCGAGGTGGGAGGCCCGTGACCGGAGGTTGACACCCCAGACCCCCCAGGGGCTAGGGGCTGAGGGGGATGGGCTCCCCTCACCCCTTCCTAAGACCCCTTAAGATTTAAGACCCTCTAAGACCTTCCAGAAGGTTCTGGAGGGGGGTCATGAGGGGAGGGGTAAGCCCAACCTGGGGATAAAAAGCCGATCCTCTGAACGGGTCCAGCAGTGTTCGCCAACTCAAGCTTGAATACATCTGTTAAGACCTGAAAACTGGACCAGCACCCGGGAACCCTCAACCGAGGCTCTCGTTAGAGCCGGGTTGTGGCGGACCCGAGGTAGCTCGGACACCCTGGGACCCTCCCCGAGGCTCTGGTCAGAGCCGTGGTGTAGCGGACCAGGGGTGAGCCCCGTACCCTGCCTGGGACGGGTCGGTCCAGTCTTCCCTTAGCCGCCGTGGCAAGGGACCGGTGTGTAGAGTAGCCTGGAGTGTGTAGGACGTGCTAGAAGGGAGTGTGTACCTCCCTTAGGCTATCGGGTTGAAGGGGCCCACTTCAGCAATTGTTTCTTGCTGTGGTTGTCCCACCTGATGACGGGCGCTTGTGTTACAACCGAAACGTCGTGATTTAATTAATTTTATTTTATACCTACGCGACTTTACCGAAAGAACCAAAGAGTATGGATCCCTGCAGTCATGAAAACGTCAAATCTAGATTGACAAAATGGATCATAGGCAGGCCAACCTGAAAATTTTTAACCGGTGCAGATATTCTATGAGAGGGGTCCACATTCCGCAAGCAAAGAAAAGGAAGGGCAAGACTGTTTCCAAAAATACCATGATCTTTGTGTCGAGTGACAGACCAGGTAGCTTCCACACAGCATTAAGCAGCTGATCAAAATATAATGCCGCTCGACTGATTCGGAGTGAGAGCTCTGCTGCCAATCTGGAGTTGGTCATGAGCACACAGCCCAGGTATGGACACTTCTCTACTCTCTCCACAACTGCACCATCACGGTGGGGAGTTGACTCAGTGGAGTATTGGATTATACAAAATACATGAGCAGGTGCTTAATTTGGTGAGGCTGATAGTAAGGCCTATCTCTTAGTGGCACGCTGCAGGTTTAGCAGCAGAACCTTCAACTCATCAGTGGGCAGCAACCACCAGATCATCACTGTGCATAACATGGTTGACCAGGAGGATCAGCCTCCCATTGTATCTGTACCAGATTAAAATTCCACAGGTACAGCCATAGAAGGCTTCTCGAATTACATGGTCGAACATGATGTAAACAATGCAGGAGCCAGATGCTGTCGCACCCCAAGATGAACAGGGAACGGCTGCGAATGGTGTTGCTCATGAGCGGGAATTGAATTCGGGTCGCCAGGTTCATAGTGCACACATATACTCATGCATGCCGTTGAGGTCACTTACTTTGAGAAGTCTCATGGAAGCTGCAACCAAAGTCTGTTACCCGCACGGTCCCAGCCATGGGGTCCTTGACCAAGATATTGCCCTAGACCAGAGGACGGTAACGAAAATAACAAGATAAAAAAATGTATTCGGTTAAAGAAACTCAATCTTTCAAGAGCCGTAATGCACTGTGTGGTGAATAGGAGATGGTGGTCCTGAATAAATAACGTTACGAAGCAGTCCTTAAAGAGCCACACGCGGCTCCGGAGATGCAGGTTACCGATCCCTGCCCTAGATGAAGAGGGGCAGAAGTCGTTCACGCTCAGAGGTTACGAAAATCTAAATTTCGGGAAGCAGAAGATGACGGATCATTTAAAAGGTGTCCAATGAAGTGAAGGTCTGTCGACTTTAGAAAAGGGAATATTTTTTTTCACTTGCCAGGTGACCTTTGTAGCAACTTGACGTTTGGCCGATAATACTCCGCACACGCTCGCAAAATAGCCTGCGTCGCTCACTTGGCAGTAAACGTTAAAGATCCCACGACGTCACTCGTCACGGTCCAGGTTTGGCCCAAATATAAAAGGTTACACCAGAAATCACTCAATTGGGACAAAGATGAAGATCCCCGGAATGGAACAAGAAGGGCGTGAATGCCAAATGTGCTAAATTATTCGTGTTGATAATAATAAAAATTGTAAATGTTATTGGCGAGATCACCTTCGGGCGAATTGCTGACGAGGGGCATGCGCGCACTGGACGGTTGATGGTCGCAGTCCGGGTCACCTCCCTGCTCAGCTCTCCCAACAGCTGCTTTGGGTGGGGCTGCTCCATACACAGAGACAAAGGGGGCAGGTGAGTGATGGGTGAATGATGGGTGAGTGGTGAGTGAGGGGTGAGTGAGGGATGGGTGATGCTTGAGTGATTGGCGAGTGCGTGATGGTTACACGAGTCGTGAATGAGGGGTAAGGGGTGAGTTATGTTTTCGTGATTGGTGAGGGGTGAGTGACCGTTGGATGATAGTTGAGGGGTGGCTGATGGTTGAGTGGTGGGCGAGTGGCGAGAGATTGATAAATGATGATTAAGTGAGTGGTGAGTGATGGGTGAGTGAGGAGTGGGTGATGGTTGATTGATTGGTTGGTGAGTGAGGGCAGTTGATGGTTGGATAATGGGCGAGTGAGGGGTGAGTGATTCGTGAGTTCCCCCACCTCCAGCTCCTCCGTCTCCTGCTCCACCATCGCCATCTGTCTCCTTCACCACCTCCAGCTCCTCCTATACCATCTCAAGCTCCTCTACCACCTCCAGCTCCTCCATCTCTGATTATCCACCGTCTCCTCCACCCCAAGTATCCTCCATCCCCTCCCATTCCTCCTTCTCCATGTCCCCATCCTCCCACTTCTCCATCATTTGTCACTCTTCAGCTGTCTCCCCCTCTTCGGCTGTCTGCCACTCTTCCTCCGTATCGCTGCCCGCCCCCTAGAAGAGACTCAAGCTCGAGACCAGGAAGAGGAGCTGGGACAGAGCGAGCGAGGGAGCCACGCAGGCCAGCGTGGGGGTGTTCAACATGGGGCTCACGCCTGGGGGGTGCTCGTGCCGCTGCTGCTCACCAATGGCTTCAGCGTGGAGGCGCTGTTGGGCCGCACGCGTGGCGAGGCCGAGCAGCTGGCGGCCAAGGTGCGCGTCCCCTTCTCCAGCAGCAGCTGCATGGGCGGCGTGCCGCTCCACCAGCTCGGGGACCTCATGCGCATCTTCAACCCGCCAGAGCTCAGCTGTCGGATCGCGGTCAAGGCCCTGGGATCAGCTCCCACTCGAGAGTGGTCCTCCCCTGGCTGCTGTTTGTGCTGCAACTGTTTAGGACCGGTAGAGCGGACTGCTTCTGGTCTCCCACCCAGTAACTCTGCTGTCTCTTTACCCCATTGTCACCCAACCCAGCAAACTCACCAACACTGTTACCTCATCCATCAGACACAAACCCCCATACTTTCTCAAACAATGGCATCTCCAATCTTATGTTAATTCTGTTCCTGCAGTCTTCCACAATTCATGATATTTGTTTCATAGGTATCCACCTGTTACTCGTAGCTTAAACATTAATCACAGACATGCAAAAATATCTACATGCTAGTAACGCCATTTAGCACAGCACTATAGTATAAAATACATTAAAAAACAATACATGTTTATATTGTTGATTAGTTTGCGTGTTGAAACCAATCCTGGTCGCATTACTGCCTCACCTTTCCTATTACATTTCCACTATCGTAGAAATCTACTTTAATTTGTCCACTGTATAAAAATGGCTTAAACGAGAATCCTAGTAATTATAGACCCATATTTTTTTCAACAGTTACTAAAATACACTGGTTTTTTCGGTAAAGTCACGTAGGTAGAAAAAAATATATATATATCACGACGTTTCGATCGTAACACAAGCGGTCGTCCTCAGGCGGAAAAAAATTATCCAGCAGTGGAACTGCTGAACTAGGCTGAACCAGGTTCAGCAGTTCCGAGGCACACGACCGCTTGTGTTGTTCTGAGGACGACTGCTTGTGTTGCGATCGACACGTCGTGATATATATATTTTTTTCTTTTTTCTATCTACGTGACTTTACCGAAAGAACCAAAGAGTATGGATTGCTGCAGTCACGCAAGCTTCAAATCAAGTTACTAAAATATTCGAAAAAACATACATCCAAAATAAACTGCTGCCGAAAAGCTCACAATCTCATGCACAGCAAAGTCTGGTTTTCAAGAGGATTACAGCACCACCACAGCTATGGATGTTTAAAATGTTCTCATCAGTAAACTGGATAAAAGGTCACTACTGCTGTGCAATATTCATTACCTTTTCAAAAGCCAGTTGAAAATTATATTCCACTCACAATTCTTGGTCAATTACGGTTTTCAGATTCAACAATAAAATGATATAAGTTACCTCTCAGACCGTTCTTAAATAAGTACATAGTGTAAAGGAGTTCCTGAGACGTCCATTTTAACAAGGGTAAGTCTTTATTTCCATGTAGTAAGTACAAACAGCTCCGTTGAACCCAGCCCAGCTGCACTCCGCCTTGGTCGTCTTTCTTCAGTCTTGTCCCAGCCTTGCACCCACAACTGAGTTCAGGCTCCCTCTTTATAAACCCTCCTTAGGCCCCGCCCCTAATCAGACCGTGTCCCTCCCACGTGGACAGACCACCTGCTCTTAATTAACTCAACGTGTGCGTTCCCCTATATTTCCCCTTACAGTTTCCCATCCTTACGCAGCCACTGTATCGCAACGCGTGCCCCAAGCATACCTCTGACATACAGTCCCCTACAATAGTAATAACGTCTCGTCCACAAAAATTAACAAAACAAATTGCATGCCACAAGGTTGCGTGCTGGGTCCAATTCTTTTCTTATATTTGAATGATTTGGACTAAACTTAAAATTAGTCAGAATTAAATATCTTTGCTGGTAACATTGTCATGTTCGTATCGGATAAATCTCCAAAGTCAAACAATCTCCAACACGATTTTGAATTGATTCAATAATCAATTGTCATTACTAAAATGTATCTGAAATCCCAAAATCACTATCATCATGTTATTTTCATCAAATAAGAGTCTCGTTTAATTCCCTTAACCTATTATGGATATCAGAAAAAAACATCATTGAACAGAGTGCTCCAAATACTTGGTTTTATTCATTAAAAACTGACATTACAACCCCATATTGATCACACGTCAAATGCAATGAAATGCAAATTAGGGATTTAATGCAGAAACATTGTTTTCTCCTTCGATTAGGCCTGCAAATTGCTGAAACTATCATTCTACCACGTTTTGACTCCCGTGATGCTGCTTACAAATCAACTACTAATGAAACACTAAACATAATAAACCCGCTTTATCATTCTGCTCTTTGATCTGTACTGGATTTACCATACAGGACCCACCATTGTGACCTCTACTTATAAAGATTGGAAAATTACGCATTATACTGACCTAATCCATCTACCCCATGGTCAAACCCACGCAACCTAAGACGCCCATTGAATTGAGCTTTAACTATTCCAAGAACAAGAATTAGAATGGGTAACAAAAGTCTTTGTCAGTGCAGCACCATCAATGTTTTGGAATAACCTTGGATCCTCCCTTAACATCCGTAAATCTTCCTTAAAAATAATATGAAGCAGAAGCTTAGTGCTGGATAAAACCACATTTGCCAATGTCACTTCTAACTCTGATTCTTACCCATGTGTCAAAGGTAAAATTTTTACATGAAATTTCATCGAGGTACTGTGTTGTCTTGGTGTGGTCTGGGACTGCTTTTGTTCAAGCTTGCATTTAGTGTTTAAATATCGGCAGTAATTTATGTACTTGTGCCATTTGTACTTATATATTTTAGTTATTTAAATGCTATATAGTTTAGTGACTGGATTACCTTTTTTCTCTAGCTCGCACTCCTATCACTTGTTATATTGTCTCGTGTTCTTCTGACCCTCCCCGACTCGACGTCTGTAAACAATAGCTGGATAGCTCATCAGACTCCTCCAGGATAAATAAACATGATGATTCTGAATGCTGCTTGTCGGTGGTTCATCATACCTCTGTTTCAAACTCTTTTTGAGAGTAAACATGTGAAGTACCGGTGAAGACACTTGACTCCGAGGTTGAGGCACACGGATATTTATTTAACACAACTTGTATGTGACATACAACACTGGAGGGGGTATCGGCCCCCTCACCCGACTAGCTAAGAATACAACTCCTAGCTAAGTCCTAGCCTACCTCACAGTCCTCCACTACTGGGCTAGGGGAGGCTACTTGGCCCGACACTGGTAAGTCGGGCCGGTACCCGGAGTCCCAGACCAGCTCTTAGAAGAGCACCGGCTCTGGCTTTCGGGACCACGCCGCTGGCTCGGTCCTGTTCGGCCCTGACAAGGACATCGAACGAGGGAGTCCAGGGCTCTATCTCAGACGTCTTCGGTCTTCTTAGTTAACTATAACATAACTGACTCCCGAGCCCATATAACGTCCCCTTTTATACCCAACCCTCCTTGAGGGGTGGGGCCCCGGGGGATCATAACGCCAAACCAGCCCCCCCCAGGGTGTCTGGCTCGGACGTCGCAGAGGGCATCTCCCTGTGCACACACGTAGCCCCGCCCACTGTGTTTCTTTCCCATAGACTGCCATACATAACGGCCCTCTCTCTAACATCCCTACATCACTCCCCCCTACATAGCTCGCAGCCGTCCCGGCTGCCAACATACAGAATGACAATAAAAATGAATTTTTACCGTAACCGCGCGTGTGCCTCATTAATTATCAACAATAACAAGAACGGTAACAAGAACACAAAAAAAAATGCAACGGCAAGGAAAAACCAACCCGACGCACCCCCCCATGAATAAATACGAATTCCGTAAGAACAAGCTATATACAATTTGCAGCGAAGCCACCATACACACAACAGCAGGTGAGCACAACGTATGTAAATTCAAAGGGCAGGGAACACACCCCCCCACACAACACACAATGAACACAACATATATACACATCTTGCGGTTTCACAACAGTCTGCGCATTTTTGCGCGTGTCCTTGCGGCGGGCCCCTCACACGGGGAAACCCCGGGTGGCGGACCGTCAGGTGGTAATCGTCCGTCCCGGAGTGAGACCTCCTCTGATGCCGCGTGACTGTTGGTATCCCCAGAAGTGGTGGTCGGGCGTGAGCCCGTCAGTCCCGATGCACCTGGAGGTGGCACGGCCGGCAAGGCATTAGGTGAGCGCGGTGGAGACGGACCTAGTGAGTCGGTCGACCCCCCACACGTCTGGCCGCGCATGTGTGAAGTGGGTTTGTGTACCGCGACGAAGGGTTTCAACCGAGAGGGGTGCACGAACCATCGCCGCTTCCCCCATCGAATGCGCACGCACTGTGGTCGCAAGACCTCGACCACTTCCACAGGGCCCCGCCACGGCCGCGCCAGCTTAGGGGAGGTAGCCAGGGGCACTTGGGGACAGTGCAACCATGCCCTGTCCCCCGGTTTCCACTGTATTACATGCGCCCGACCCAGCCTGAGGCGCTCGTTCGCCTTTTGACGGCGGTCCGAGTTCAACCTCGCAGCATCCCGCGCCTCTGTTAATTTAGCCAGATTAAATTTGACGTGGTCAGCCAATTTAGTTTTTCCTTGCGGGTCCGGGATCTGCAGCTGGGCGCGAACAGGCGGGTCGGGTTCGCGACCGTACATAAGGTAAAAGGGGGAAAATCCCGTAGCTGCATGGGGTGCCATCCGGTATGCTGCCAAGACCCCCTGAATATGCAGGTCCCAATCAGTCTGTGAATCTGAGACCTGCTGTGCCATCATTGACGAAATGGTGCGATGCAGGCGCTCGACCATTCCGTCAGTCTGTGGGTGATACGGGGAGGTCCGAATTTTCTTTGTGCCTAAGAGGTCACAGACTTGTTTAAGTAATTTGCTGGAAAAATTTTTACCCTGGTCGGTCAGCAGCCGTTCCGGAGCACCTTTGTCCAGGATGTATCCCTGAACAAAGGCGTCCACGATGGCTGCTGCCGACTGGTTGGCAAGGGGCCAGGCCATGGGCCAGCGCGTAAAATACTCGACCCCTGTCAGCAAATACCTATTGCCCCTGGGGGTGGCGGGAAATGGGCCCAAGATGTCCAGCGCGACAAGCTCATTTATTCTGGACACCTTGATTGATTGTAAAGGCGGGTTAGACTCCCGTGCCGGCGGTTTCCGTTGCGCACACCGCGGGCATGAACTCAAAAGATCCCCAACATCCTTTGTCATACCAGGCCAAAAAAAATCTAGTTGTATCAGTGCAAGGGTCTTTAGAGTCCCCAGATGTAACAGGCGCTCATGCGCGGCCCACACCACTTTGCCTCGCAACTCAGAAGGGACGACCAGCCGATGTCGCTGTGATTTGCCGTCCCAATGCATGAGCAGACCCTGTACCATTTCCCAAGCACCTGAATCACCTTTCACCCGCCCAGCACCCCCGACGCGACGACGCCACCCGAGGAGGGAGGTATCCTCCATTTGGAGGCGCCCCCACTCAGTGACGGGCAACCCCAACAGGGAATCCCTTCCCTGTTGTTCTATCGAATTATCCGGCAGTGGTTCGTCGTCGTCGGTGGCTGCCAGGATCGGAACCGATGCGTCCCCTGAAGGTCTGCAACGTCCCGACCCCAGGAGGCATGCACATTCCGAGGTGGTTGGCATGCGCGACAGAGCGTCCGC